GAACATCGGGAGACACTGGAACATCGGGAGACACTTGAACATCGGGAGACACTGGAACATATGAACATCTGGAGACACATGATGAGCAGCTGCAGCCTGAGGACGTGGCTAAACTCAAGTTGTCCTCTTATGTTTCCTCTGAACATGGGAGCTGGTGGGACACCGGCTTTGTCACAGACTGACGAGCGGCTGCTCGAACACAGCTGGAACATCTGGTGGCCACAGTAAATATCATGGAGCAACTAAACTTTTATAGACTTTGATTTGAAGATTAATAAATGTTCTTAAGAGTGAAAACATAAAAACAGATGGAACATGGTCGGCTGTGTCTCAGGAGGCTGAACCAGTCGTCCACTAATCACAGATGGTAAAATCCCACAATCCTCAGCTCCTCCTGTGCAGCAGCATGTGTGACACACAGCTCATCTTCTGATCTGAGCTCTGATTGGTTGAATTTGAAATTAAATGTAATTCACCTTGAGGTCAAAGAAACAACAAGGACAAAATGAAAGAAGGTGAAAACGTTGTGGAGTCAGAATCAGTTCAAATCCAATCCAGCATCGTGATGTTATTTATTTGCTTTGTTTTCTGAAACTTAACAACCAGAAATAATCTAGAAAAAGTGTGTTTGAGTGTTGAAGCTGCACGCACGCACGCACGCACGCACGCACGCACGCACACACACACACACACACACGTGAGAGTGTCTCCACAGATCAGAGGCTAATTGGATTTCTGACTGTCAGAGTTTCTCTGAATTTTCCACAGGGATGGAATTTAATTTTGACTGTGCATTAGTAACGACCTGTTTGCACAGAGATCACATGACCCCTGACCTGCTGCAGATTTACTCTAATTACCACGAACACCTTTTACTCATTTCCCAGCAAACCCAGATCTTCTATCATTTATTCTCCACTGGTGAAGTTTACTCAGAGATTAGCAGCTGCTCAGAGAGAAAGTCTCTGCTTGTTTAAAACTAATTCATTTTCTGCTTTAATGGTTTGAACTGCGACTCCACATTTGTTCTCTCTCACTCTGTTTATCAGCCGTCTTCACTCTTCTCTTACATTTATTCAGGTTTTATTCTTCCTGCCATATTTTTATTATTTATCACATTATTCTGATTTTTTCAGCAGAGATGCAGGTTTCCGGGACATTGATGAAATGATTAGATGATTGATTTTTTTCCTGAGTTTTTCCATGTTTTTCTGTAATGTCACATTTCTTTCATGTCAGATTTTGTTTTCTCCTCTCTCTCCCTTAGATCCCTCAGATTAGTTACGCATCCACAGCCCCCGAGTTGAGCGACGACCGCCGCTATGACTTCTTCTCCCGCGTGGTCCCTCCGGACAGTTTCCAGGCTCAGGCGATGGTGGACATCGTCCAGGCCATGGGTTGGAACTACGTCTCCACCGTGGCATCGGAGGGCAGCTACGGCGAGAAGGGCGTGGACGCCTTCATGCAGCTCTCCAGAGAAGCAGGTAAGAGAGGCGGCTGGTTTAAGTGTCTGGTGTAAGATTCTGTTTTGATGACGTGTTCAGTTTGCTCTGTGTGTCTCACTGCAACTTGTTTACTATCTGAAAAAGATGAGAAAACATCAATAAATCATTATATGTACATATATAATATATGTACATGAATAATATTCCTCCACATAAACCACAAAGTGCATGAATCTAGTTGTACTGAAGTTACTTTGCTCAGGTCACGTGTGCAGATTTCTGTAAGATGAGGCCTGTTTGACCTGGGGCCTCGTCTATAACCGTTGGTCTGATCGATGCCCACGTCGCTTCTCACACAGACGTTGGGATTGAGAAAGACAAACTTGACAAGAGAATGTCTGCACTTGTACAATAGGAGACAGAAAAATGACGACGCAGACGTGAGGGGGTGATTGTTGATCCACTTCATCATTTACATTAAAACCAACAGTGTTAATTGTGCTCGTTCCACACGCTTCAGCTGTGATTGTGTTGTTTTGTCTGGATGTTTCCATGTCGACCACATGATTCTGTTTTAAAGGAAAACCAAAGAACATGAAACAGATCAGATGTGAACCAATGAGTTTCCGGTGATGTTGATGATCAGAGATTAAATCTCTGACATTTAAAACAATCTGATGGACTCAGTGATGAGTCCTGACATTTCTGTGCTGCAGTTTCCAGAAGATTATTAAAGGACACGTCTCAGAGATCACAGAGGACGTCCAGGACCAACGGCCTCATACAACTGGTTTTTCAACAACGAGTTGATAATGATCACAGCAGGTCTCCTCAGTGTCGTCAGACACACAACAGCTTGTGTTTTACAGGAGGTTCAGGAAACATCTGAGGCCTCATTCATCCTCCACATGTTTCATGTGCAGATAAAACTAAGACTCTCTGAATCACTGTGACACTTAAGACGTGTGTTACAAACAGAAACTGATCAGGTCATTGAGTTGCTTCAGTTCAAAGTCAGAGGTCTTCACACTCTGCTCTAGGGTGGAAGGAGAAAGAGAGGGTTGTCCACTGACCAGGAGGTCAGGGGTTCGATCCTTGGACTATGAGTGTTGTGCGTTGGACAAAGAGCAGAATGTGTTCGTGCTGGGAGGATGTGTGTGGTTTGTTCTGCAGCACAAGTTGTTAAATAGACACTGACAACTTATTGAGGAGTGAAGCAGTCGGACAACAGAAGAAAACAGTGAGATAAGAACGAGCTGAAATGACAGAAACCATCTTTCACAAACGTTTATTTAACGTCTACTTAGATTTTTTTAGTTTCGTCCAAATCCCATCTGCTAACATGGAGGAGGAGGGTTTATGACCTATACTGCAGCCAGCCACCAGGGGGAGATCATGATGATTTGGCCTCACATGTAATTCAGTTACAGTCTGTGATCCCGTCTCTATCGGAGGAAAAGATGTCGTTTGATTCCATTAAAACTGTTTTAAATCCGCTGCAGGATGTCAGTTCCATATCTTCACTGAGATCATTTATTTGTATTTTATAACTTTAATAACATCACAACAACAAATGATGATTCTAATGGCTTTGACAGATGAACATAATAAACATGATCGTAGATATTCACTTATTGAACGAACAAATTAGACGAGTGGGTTTATGATGTCATGAATAATTCTGACTCAGTTGTGTGTTTTGCAGCTGTATCTCTGTTCTTACAGTTTATCTGTGGATCCTCGTTAACCTGCCCACCATCAAACATCTGCTTCTAAACTTTAATATCCCTGTATTGTTGATGAACAGCCAGTTCAAAAGGTTGATTCCCTGCAGCTACGACGAGCCCTCTGAACCAAAACCATCCGTCAAATTGAGTCACTACGTTTGGATCTGAAACACAGTGTGAAATTCTCTCAGCACCAAAGATGGATGAGCCTCTTTGTATTTTCAGGAGTTATCTCCCAGCTTCACTTTCAGCCTCCGGGCGTCTCTGTCAACACGACGTTGATTCTTCATTAAGTGTGAACAATGAAAAAACAACTGCGTCTTTCAGGAACCTGGATTTTGTGCAGATGAAGGTAATTGCTCCTAATTCCACTTGTTTCTGACGTGAGCGGTCGAGGAGACGAGACGTCGAGGAGACCAGATGAAAAGAAGCTTCAACACACACACACACACACACACACACACACACAAACTTGAATTAACCAACACCTCTGTAGTTTCAGGCTCCGCCCACTGTGAAGACAAACAGGAAGTTCAGATTTAAATTTGTGTTTCGAGCTGTGTCATCGGAGGCTTCTTGTTGAAAAGCATCCTGGGAGATGTAGTTGACTTTCCCCTTCACCTTTCTCAGATATTTTCATAGAGCAGATGTTGTTGGATGATTCATGTCCATTCAACTGTCACATGATCCGAGGTTCATGTGTAATTCACATGTTTAAATCGTGATCTGGTGCAGAGCCCTGAAGTACAAGATGAATGGACCCCCCCTTAATGTGTCCATCTTTAGAGTCCAGACCTGCACACACGTTTCCTGACACAGTGTTTGTAATACAAAGGTTCTGCTGGTGTTTGGACGTCGGATTAATCTTAACCTGCTCGTGTTGATGCAGAAACTCTGAGGTTTTTTATTCTGCTGCTTCCTCGACACAGACACATTATGAAGCCGCCTCAGGAAGCTGCTGCCATTGTAATCTCTGAATCAGCAGGATTGTGAAGAAAAATGCTGTGAGATATTTGTTTCCATCTCTTCAGAGGTTAAAATGCTGACGGGGAAACTGGGCCCTGTAATACCATGTGAACTCAGTATTGGCAGCACATAGCAGGAGGGAATAATGTCTCCCAGCTATTTGCCATGCGGAGCGTTTGAGTGAAGAGAGCTGGTGAAGCAGGAAAAAACTGTTTGCTTTAACACTTCAATATTTTCATGGCTGGATCTCTCACCTGATCATTTCTGACACTCAGGTAAATCACAGAAAAGCCTCGGGACCCAGACGTTTGTGTTCTCACTTACAGAACATGTCAGGAACATGTCTGTGGTTGAGTTCATGTAGGAAAACAGCTTCAGTCATGTGTTTCACGTGTTCAAACTTGAACACGTCGTAACTCAGATGAAAGTGCAAAAACTGGTTCAGACCAGTGGCTGCAGGTCGTCAGCCTCAGTGTGTTTAACACGTTGCTTTTATTCTATTCACCATTTCTTGTCCCATAATCATCTTGATGGATCGGTTCCAGGGCAAACACTGATGACTAATCATGAGCCGTGTGAGCGATACAAAGAATGGAAGGAAAAATCAGCTAACAGGCTTTAGCTTCGTCATACGTCCAGTATGTCCACACCTTGTTTGCCCCGGACCTTATACCACCGCGAATGTAAGAACACTCGTCATCATCACGTCTGTGAAGAGTTCACACATCGTGATACGTGGACGAGTCCAGTCACAGAGCAAACTCCTCTGTGTCGACGTGGTCTTAAAACCACTGTGAGCCCTGAATCACACGAACATGAAGAACAGTATCAGCTGCATACAGATGAGAGCGTCGCTGCACAGCCGCCACTAAAGTCTGTGTAATGGCCTCGCTGAGGGAAAAGTGAGCATCTGGATGAAGACGAGAACGACGGAGGTCGCAGCAGCACTGACCTCCATGTGAAATGAATTGAACAGGTGGAGTTAACGTGTTTGAGTCTCAGACTCCGCTGACGGTCGTCATGCAGCGTTCCCTCCTCTTCCAGTTTCCATGGCGGCCGTACAGCTGTTGGCTCCTCCTCCATCTTCCTCCTAAAGAGCCGTCCCCTCTGCGTGTTTATTCATAACTCCATTAGGCTGGAGAGCGATTAGCACCAGCAGCTAATGCAGCATCTAATTAGATTACCTGGGACTCCAGGTGGAATCCATCAGCTGTTTACAACTGTTACTCCACCACCGCAGCAGTGCGGGGGGGCTGTAAGTGAAAAGAGAGGCGGCCTGACCAGACTGTGTTTCTCACTCACGTCAGTCAGCTGACTCATGTTTCACAGTCTGCTGACTCATGTTTCACAGTCAGCTGACTCATGTTTCACAGTCAGCTGACTCATGTTTCACAGTCAGCTGACTCATGTTTCACAGTCTGCTGACTCATGTTTCATCACTTCTCCATCACTCTGATGCTTCGCTCTTGTTTCGCCACAGAAGCAAATTCCACATTTGAAAACAAGCATTTTAAAGAGAAGCGTAGTGTTGTGTATTTATACTGGAGTTTATACTGGAGTTTATACTGGAGTTATTGTGGAGTTTATACTGGTTTAATACTGTAGTTATACTGGAGTTTATACTGGAGTTATACTGTAGTTATACTGGAGTTTATACTGGAGTTTATACTGGAGTTTATACTGGTTTAATACTG